CCACAACCAAACAAGGAACAGGAGATGAGGCAGGCACCACTAATTCTAGGCCAATCGAGACAAAATTCTTATAAGACTCAAACATGTACGCTCAGCGATTATAGTTGAAGTCTAACAGTTCTAGATGCAATATAGTTTTAATATCATAATAACTATCTTAAGTGAACCTGGTACTTTGTATCGGTACCCCCTTTTTGTATAAAGACCTGGCACTTTGTATTTGTACCCCTTTTTATATAAAAACCGGCACTTTGTATTTGTACCCCTTTTTGTATATAAACCCGGCACTTTGTATTTGTACCCCTTTTTGTATGAAAACCGGCACTTTGTATTTGTACCCCTTTTTGTATATAAACCCGACACTTTGTATTTGTACCCCCTTTTGTATAAAAACCCGGTACTTTGTATCTGTACCCCTTTTTGTATATAAACCCGGCACTTTGTATTTGTACCCCCTTTTGTATAAAAACCCGGTACTTTGTATTTGTACCCCCTTTTTTTGTACGAGTATGTTATGTAAATGATCATAAACTATACCTATTATAGTTTATTAAAATGTTTGAAATGTATATGTACCCTAACTATACCTATTATAGTTTAGTATATTTCTTTTTGGTGTTTAAGAATCCCACTCTATGTAAGTCAAACGTATAGTACGATATAACTATGATTAACTTGCTTTGTTTTGTACTATTGATTATGATGGAGGATTCTTATAAATTCAGCAAGTAATTTCCTATTATATAAATATATCATGACAAGAAATACATGTAATATATGAAGTTATCAAAGATTTAACACTTTGCTCAACATGTTACAAAGTGTTTTGATAGTTAGAAGCTGATAATTAATTCTTAGTCTTTCAGCACTGTTTTAGAAAAATCATAGAAAAATCATACGAAGTCAAAAATTAGATCCGTAAATTCTGAGAGTTCCTAAAATGAGTCTAGTTTACTCACAATTTTTATCATGATTTTTGGAAGCTTTGAACTTGTCTTAAAATGCTCATATTCACAGACTGGTCCGGGTTTGTGTTTGAAAAGACAGGCTGTTTTGTAAAAATCACCATAAATTGTAGAAAAATCGTATGGATGTGTTCAAGTAGTCATTTTAAAGCTAAGAAGTGGAACTACTTGCACCTAAAACAGTTTTGAAAAATAAAATGTTTAAGTTTTCCAAAACAGTCCATGAATAGAGTGGAACTTTTCTGATGAAGGCTGTTAGAAACATTTAGTTATGTTCTTGGTGTTTTAACTTGTATTCCCCCCTTAAAAACTTGAGAAAACATTAAAATGTAGGGGTATGAACTCACCTTGAGTGATTTCAGTAGATAAGTGTTGAAGAAGAGAAATGTTCAACCCAAGAACACTTGAAGAATCACTTGAAGATTCGAAGCTCTAACGCAAATATGATGGAGTTTGTGTAAGATATCCGTGATTTGAGTAGAATGAAGTGAAATAATCATAAGGAGGATGAATTATACTTACTAAGAGTGGAAGAACACTTGAAAATCAGCCTTAAATCTCGAAATTGGAGTGGAAAAAGTTTGAGAGAAAAGTGGTGTTTGATACTTAGTGAAATGAGAGCAAATGAGAGAAAATGAGGAGAGAGGTTGTTTGTTCCAGCTCTAAAAATGTGGGAAAGAGTGATAATTGAGTGGAAAGGACATTGATGTGACTTAGGTATGGTGGGGAGGAATGGCTGGTCATAGAGTGGGTGTGAGAGTGGTTGTTTGTGTCATAAGGTAAAGCAAAGTCAACACTCCACCTCTTTGTACTTTACCCACTTGATTTTATTATTTAAATAAAGATTTTTATGAAAATATGATTAAATTGTGAATATTTAGGGTTTATTATGTTAAAATATGATTTTGGGTGAAAATCCCGCGTTAAAATAATTAAAAACGGGCCTTAAACGCAAAACTACGCGAAAACCGGGAAAAATTGAGTTCCCAGCGAGACCTCTCGGTCCTAGGCCGAGGTTCGGTCCCTAGGCCGAGACTCGGTCCATGCTGAATACTGTAGCTGGAAACGAACAGAGGGAAGCGAAAGGGTGAGGAGGCGAGGAAGCGAGAATCGAAGGCGAAGGCGAGGGTTCGGTCCGGAGGTGAAAGGCGAGAAGTCAGACCCGAAATGAACCGAATGAACAGTAGTGAACAGTACCTTCGGGTTCGGTTCCTCCTGGGCTCGGGTTCGGTTCCACCTGCTCTCGGGTTCGGTTCCTCCTGGGCGAGGTTCGGCCCTGAGAGGACCTTCGGCTCAGGAAGGTTCGGTTCCTTGCTCTCAGGTTCGGCTCTCTTGCTCTCGGTCCCTAAGAGGACCTTCGGGTCCTAAGGAGCTTCGCCTCTTATAAGAGGGTTTCGGTTCCTAAGGTCCATGACCAGCGATTGCCCAGTCATCTAGCAGAGTATAGATGACAACAATGAACTATTCTAAACAGTCCAGCGGAACACTAGCAGGCTCGCAACATGTAGGTGTTGTGAACGATATGTTCATTAGATGTACTCTAAAAACCCATTGACATGTATTGTGGGTGGACTCCCTAAAATAATACTGTCAATAAAGAAGATAAACCTTGACAGTTATGAACTTAGTGCCTAACAATAACATCAGTAACTATGGACTTAGTGCATGTTATATAAACCCTGACAGCGATGGACTTCATGCCTATTCCTTAGGACAATCCTTAGGAATAAATATTGAGGAATAGATGATTCGTAAGGAAGATACTTAAGAATAAAGAAGATAACGATGATGGGTAATTACGTTAATTGTTTGATGATGAAACATAATAACTTTATTATTGTGGGTTGAAAATCCTATGTGCTCACCAGGTTTCTCAACCTGACCCGCTTAATTTATTTATATCACAGTATCGATACGAAGACACATTATACTGAGAGATTAAAGGAGATGTAGATCATTAGTGTAAATGAATGTAAGGTCTGTTTATGCTTATGTTTAGTATTGACAATGACATCCCAAAATTTTAATATAAACAAAATACATTTCTTCGGAAATGCTTTGATAAAATATTTATCATGTTTTGTAGGAACAAATTCTGCAATATTATTCTTTAAAATGGATACTCTGATTTTTAAATAAGCATAAATAAAAATTTTAAAATGACCGTGAATTTGTGGATGTCACAGAACTTCTCGCGAAGCTCTTGAAAACTTTTGCTACGGTGTTGTCCAAATGTATAAGGCTGAATATTTACGCCATCCAACTCCATTGGCATTCAACTTTTGTATGAAACACATGATGCTAGATATGAATTCCTAGGAATGTTCGGTAGTATTGATTGTGCATATTGGAATGGGAGGAATTGTCTAACGGAATTGAGAGGCTAATACATGAAGGGTTACTATCAATATCCAACAATGATACTAGAAGTGGTGACATTACAAGATTTATGGTTTTGGCATGCATTCTATGGTGTAACTGGTTCGAATAATGATTTAAATGTCTTCTACCAATCACCACAGTTTGATGAGAAATATCATAAAATAGGACTTGATTGTTCATTTTATATGATGAACACTACAAGCATGGTTATTATCTTGCGGATGAAATATATCTATTGTGGGTTGTATTTGTGAATGCATGTCCATATCCAGTAACCAACAAAAAGAAACGGTTCAATGCGGCACAAAAATCAGCAAGAAATGACATAGAACATGCTTTTTGGGTCCTTAAAGAACGTTGAGACATATTAAAAATGCATGCACGAGCTGTGACAATGAAAACAAAAAATATAATATATGTTTGTATTATACTACACAATGTGATATTAAAAGATAAGGGTGCTGCGATATCTCATGTACATCAGCCCCCCTCCCCCCCCCCCCCCCCTCACGAAGTCGATGATCAAGAAATAGTATATGAATTGCGCAAATGCTGAAACCCACCACTAGCTCCAATCTGATCTTATTGATCACATTAAAAATTGCATGCATATCTACATTCTAATTCTGGATAATGACTAGTTAATTTTATTTGTTAATTTAGGATTTACATTATGTTATTTTTTTAAGGGTAGTTTTTTAATCATCATGTATTTTTGTATTTGTATTGTGGTTTTTAATTAAATATTATTTTAGAATTTATTTTTTTGTTTTAAGTTAGCAAAATTTTATTTTGAAATGAAAATATGTTATGGTTTATTTTATTTTATATTTTTTAATTTAATTAAATAAAAATTGATGTGAAAAATAGATTTCAATATACTCTGGGTAAAATACCCATGACATCCAGCCTAGCTGGGAAGAGATACCGGGTTTAATACCCGCGTGAGATCAGAGATCGGGAGTTCAATCCCTGCAAAACCCAATTTGGATGCATCTTAAACTTGTGCCACATGTAAGGGGATTTTTCCCTAGAAATTTTTATGAGAGCTGGATTTGTCCTATAAAAAAGTTTGAATCTGAGGTGCTCATTGAAATATACTCCGTTTAATCATTTGCGGTTTCTAAAAAAGAAAAATCCATTCAATGTGGGAGATGGGTTGAGTACCTAGCGGTGTGGCCATAAAACAAATAGCAGTGCCAACATGTTTTCCGTCTTTCTCGTTCTTGCCACGTGCCAACCTTGACAACCTTGCCTCCCCCTCTCCCCGGACCCCCTTAAATTTTATTAAAAATGGAGTAAATTACTGAAATCGTTCCGGTGGTTTGGTCAAAATTATACGTTTGGTCCCTAACTTTTTTTTTTGCACTCGGATCGTCCCTGTGGTTTGATTTTGTTGCGTTTTTTGTCCCTATGGTTTGGTAAAAATTGCATGTTTGGTCCCTAACTTTATATATGTAAGGGACGAAAAATGCAACAAAATCAAACCACAGGGACGAAAAACGCAACAAAATCAAACCACAGGACGATCCGAATGCAAAAAAAAGTTAGGAACCAAACGTGCAATTTTAACCAAACCATAAGGATGATTTCAGTAATTTCCTCTAAAAAATGGCTATTGTGTCTAATTTTATATACAAAGGGAGTGTATCAGTTTGGTCAAATAATTGAAAGGGGCTGAACGGAAGTTACAGTGGTGAAGAAGTAGTAGTATCCCATAAACAGACACACACTTCTTCGAACATTCTACATCATTTCCGAAGGCTTCTCCGCCACATTTTCGTTTGAGGATTATCTCTAATGGCGAATTCGGGTTCTCCAAAGAAGGTCTTGATGTTATGTGGCGATTACATGGAAGACGCTGAGGTTTCTTTTGTTTATTTTGACCCTTAACTTTTGGCTTTCACTGCTATAAACACACAGATCTCGATGTTTACTTCGAGTTTATGATGGAATTGATAACATATAGTTCTCGAAGTGAAATTTAGTATTCTGATCGAATTAATTCGGTTTGGCAGGCGATGGTTCCGTTTCAAGCGTTGCAAGCTTACGGATTGTCCGTCGATGCTGTTTGCCCCGGTAAAAAATCCGGCGACATTTGTCGCACTGCTATTCATCAAGGTTCTCCTCATCAGGTCCTCCTCTCACTTAATCTGCAGACTTTCCATACAAATTGGTAATAACTCCTAAGGTTGCATAAACGTCAACAAATTCAAGTCCCATACATTTTCTTACTTTAGGCAAAATCTTTCGAGTTAAATTAACTACGTGCTTGTCATCTTACAATTATCCATGATATGAATCCTAAGTTCTACTAAGGGGAAATTGCTTCATTTCTAATTTCATCACAATGGGCTTTAGAAATGGTTACTAAAACTACCTTACTTTTTAAATTGATTATATTTGGCTAACTTTACTTCATTTTAGCAGACATATTCTTATTATGCTTTACTTCATTTTAGCAGACATATTCCGAGTCTCGTGGACACAACTTCAGTCTCAATGCAACTTTTGATGAAATCGATTCAAGCACATATGATGGCTTAATTATACCAGGTGGAAGAGCTCCTGAATATCTGTCAATGAATGAATCTGTTCTAGACCTTGTGAAACATTTTGTCAAATCTGAAAAGCCCATTGCTTCCATCTGCCATGGACAACTTATCTTGGCAGCTGCTGATGTTGTGAAAGGTCGAAAAGTTACAGCATACCCTACTGTGGGACCCATGCTTGTTGCTGCAGGTGCTCATTGGGTGGAACCTGAGACAATGGCATCATGTTTTGTTGATGGAAATATAATCACTGGAGCTGCTTATGATGGGCATGCTGAGTATATCAATCATTTCATCAAGGCTTTAGGAGGTACTCTCACTGGTTCCAATAAACGGATTCTATTCCTCTGTGGGGTAAGAAGTTGTGATTCCCTCCCTACTTTATATAACCAAAAATTGAGCTGGATTTTTCAAAGTAAAATGCGTTAATTAGAAATTATTTTAAAGTAAAATGCTGTAACAAGAAAAAAAAAAATGAAGGTACCATGCTGTAATACAAAATTTTGAGAAGTACTTTTGCTGTTTCTTGCATTTTGCCTTACTATTATTTTCATGAGTTTTGGCTATATCTTTTAGGGCTGAATACTAGGAATGGTAACGTACTTTTATTTATTTGTGTATTAAAGAATCATACTTCCATTTCTTTTTATTGCAACATTGTACTTTTGTTTTTTTGTTTTTTTTTTCTTATTAAGACATTAAGGGTGTGTTTGGTTGTGGAAAACTGTTTTCATAAACGTTTTAAAAAAAAAGGAACTGAGTTTTCATTTTTAGTTTTCAATGACAAATTTAGAAAACGTTTTTGGTTATACATTTTCTATCACTTTTCATTTTCCATTTACTATTTTTCCAAATATTACAAGGGTATTTTGTTTTGACACAGAAGGGTAAAGTGGTCCTTTAGTCTCAATGTCTCATTCAATACAGATAAGAAACGGCCTTTGTTTATACAACATTTATTTCAAGACAAAAAGCTAAAACAGTCATTTACTCTCTTTCAGTCGTAAAAAGAAACAGTCTATGTTCACACAACACTTTTTTCAATCAGACACGAGGGTAAAATGGTCATTTACTCTCATCAGTAGAAAGAAGAAACAACCTTCGTTCATACGAAATTTCTTTTTCAAACACAGAGAAGGGTAAACCAGTCATCTACTCTCATCACTAAAAAAAAAGAAACAACCTTTGTTCATGGAACACTTTTTTTTAAAACATAAAAAGCTAAAAAAAAAAGGTCATTATACTCTCATAATTAGTAATTCTGCCTATTTTTGTTGTTGTACACAGGATTACATGGAAGACTATGAAGTATTAGTTCCATTTCAGTCGTTACAAGCTCTTGAATGCCACGTAGACGCCATTTGCCCCAACAAATCAGCAGGCGACACATGTCCTACAGCTGTCCATGATTTTGAGGGGGACCAAACATACAGTGAAAAAACAGGGCATGATTTCAAACTAACAGCAAATTTCAAAGACACAGATGCTTCAAGTTATGATGGCCTTGTCATCCCTGGAGGCCGAGCTCCAGAATACTTAGCACTTGACCAAGATGTTATTAAGCTGGTCAAACATTTCATGGATGCTGGAAAACCCATAGCTTCCATCTGCCATGGTCAACAGATTCTATCTGCTGCTGGTCTTCTCAAGGTAAGGGAAATATTTACTTTGAGTAACCAACCAATGATGATGATGATGATGAGTTGTTTTGACTTTTTACTGTTGGATTTAAAAGGGGAAGAAATGTACTGCATATCCTGCTGTGAAACTGAATGTGGTGTTGGGTGGTGGAACATGGTTAGAACCAGACCCAATTGATCGTTGCTTTACGGATGGAAATCTTGTAACCGGAGCAGCCTGGCCAGGTCACCCTCAGTTCGTTTCTCAGTTCATGTCATTGCTTGGTGTTCGTGTATGTTTCTAGTAACATTACATGTTTTTTTTTTTTTAATAAATCGCTTATATTATATACACACAAAAATCCGTTGTATGTTTGTTACCGCATCGGGAATAACATATTACATGTGTGTCGAAACTCGAAACTATCTTTGAGTCGGCTGTTTGCGATCAACTTGATCAGTTCTCTTGTATTATGTGGTATACTGGTATCGGCACATTTAGGTCAAAAAGGTCAACAAAAAGTAACTATTATTACCCATGTATTATATGGGTGTATTTAAAACAATTAAATATGTATAAACATTTAAAAAATTTGAATTTATAAGAAAAATGAGAAAAATATTGAATTACTAAAATTAAAGTGTTTTTTTTTCTCTTTTAAATTTAAACAAATCATTTAGATAAAATAATCAAAGCAAATTAATTAGATTTTATTTTAAAATTTTGAAGTTATAAGGAAATTAATAAAATTGATATGCATTTATTATTAAATTTTAATACCATATGGATTTTAATAAAATAGGAAAACCACAAAATTACATATAGAATAAAAATTAATTCAAAATAACCATAAAATGACATGTGGCAAAATGAATGAGAGTGTGACAAGTGGTAAAAAAAACCTTCATTTATTAGAGAAAGATAAATAAATAAAGATATCCTTTTAATTTAAATTGATTTGTTAGAAGTGTCCGATAAAAGAGAAAACTTCAAAAGAGAATTATTATTAATCAAGGAACTATATTACCAATTTAAATCGTCGGAATTTAAAGCGATCAACGGCAAAAGAAATGGTTGTAGATTTTTATAATTGACGCACGTATACCAGATTATAACAAAATTCATTTCTTTTTTTTTTTTCGTTTAATTTTTTTAAGCAATGTTTTTAATCGAGAAAAACCCGAATATACAATTATTCATGATTTTTCCATATTGATATACAAAAATGATTTTTTTTTAACTCATTTTATTTCTTTGTTTTTTGAAAAATTAAGTTCTATTTTTTATCGAAAAAATTTAATAAATATATCAAAATTAATATTTTCTGTACTTTTTAAATATATATTCATATTAAAAATGAAAAATGAATTTTCAGCATAGATTCACATTGTGAATTTGTTCAGATTCACATTATGAATCTAATTTCATAATATGAATAATATTAAATCAGATTCACATTGTGAATGTTAAAATTGAAATATTTACAGTTTAGATTCACAATGTGAGTCTGAATAGTTGATGATGTTTATTAATAGAGGACAAAAAATTGAAATTTTGGTATAATTTGTTTTATTTTATAAAAATAAACTTAAATATTGAAAAAAAAAATGAAATGAGTTTTTTTTCGAAAAAAAATTATGTTTTTTATATATCAATATAGATCTCTATGGAAAGATTACGGAAAATCGTAAACGACAGTATATTCCGTTTTTTTCGATAAAAAACGTGGCTTAAGAAAAATTTTAAACGAAAAAAAAAAAAAGATAATTTTTTGGTAAAAAGGTGTGTTTATGGTATAATCCAATATATGTGCGTCCAATGTCCAATGTACAAGTATACATCAATTTCATTGACCGTTGATCGTTTTAAATTTCAACGTTAACCATTAGTTCATTGTTAATAATATTTCTCTATCGAACATCACCCAAATTTAGCTATTGTAACGTCTCTTATTGTTATCAATTAATAATTATCTCATAATAATAATAATAATAATAATAATAATAATAATAATATATCATTTTTGTTTCTTTATTTGATAAGGGTTGGTTCTTAATGCTTGAAAATAAATATAGAAAACCCCAACTAAACCATGTACTTACAAAGAAAATTCACTACGAAATCCTCAACCAAATACTTGAAGAAAAGTGTTGCAACTTAATCATAATATTTTTTTAACTATAAAAATAATAAGTGCCGAATGTAAAATCAGGTAAAAAAAAAATCTTGCAACTAATGATCTCAAATCTCAATAATCTATATAGATTATTTCCTTAAGTTGATTTTAAATTTCTAAAGATTGATCAAAAGTTTTGTCGGGTAAAGAAATCTTAAATAGATGATCTCAATAATCTATAAAGATTATTTGCTTAAGTTGATTTTGAATTTCAAAAGTTTGATCAAAAGTTGTCAACCTTTACGGATATAGTTTTATAAAAACTAGTTGTGACACTTGTATATTATATAGCTTGATTTTAAAAAATTATAAATAAATATCAAAATATTTGAAAACTTTGAATTTATAAGAAAATAAGAAAAATAATAAATTATTATAACTAAAATGTTTTTTATAATTTAAATTTAAAGAATTAATTTAAATAAATAAACTAGTGAGCTTTAATTTGGAAATTTTAAAATAAAAAGGTAAGTCTATTAATGAAATTGGTATTCATTTATTATTTTATTTATTACAATTATTACATTAAAACATTATGCTGAATTTATTAAAATAAAAAAACTCATAAAATGACACGTGTGAAAAAAATTAATTTAAAATAACCACAAAATGATATTTATCAAATTGAACGAGAGTGTGACATGTAATAAAAAAAAACCATTCATTTATTAAAATAGATTTATTTTAATATGAGTTATTTTTTTAGAGGTGTTATAAACGATATTATTTAACGAATATAATTAAAAATACTCTTGCTTGAATTTTCCCACATGCAATGCAAAGTGACACACTTGGATAATGAAGTGCATTCCAATCGACATCTCCAACATGACATCATCAAAATTAATTCTTAGAAAATACAATAAATTTGTTATCAATTAATGCAAGTCGGGTTTTTATGTTTGTTATCATTAAAACCTATGAGGTTGAGGGTTCAAGTTACGTCATGGATATATGTGTATTTAAGATATAGTTTAGGAGTATGTTAGATTTGTCGTTCAAAAAAAAAAAAAAAAAAAAAACCTATGAGATTGTTAATATGTACACTTGCACAAACAAACTTCCTTGTTTTCTTGGTTACAATCCAACAAAATTTAGATTATGTTTGGCGTGCCACAGCTAGCTGATAAGCTAGCTTTTTGAAAAGCTACTTAGATTAACTTTTTAGGAGCTTTTTAAAAAAATTTCAAATACACCCCTTAATTAATTATAGAAACACATATTCTTATATGTCATTTTATGTAATTTTATATATTTCAGTTAGCTTTTCAGCTAGTTTTATCAAACGTTATTTTTTATCAGCTAGTTTTTCAGCTATCAGTTAGCTTTTTTTTAACAGCTAGTTTTTTAGCTAACAGTCAGCTTTTCAACTAATACGTCAAGCATAGTCTTAGTGCTTTCTTTTAGGTGCGGATTTACATGGTATCCGAAGTGGTACAGGCAACCCTTTAAATTTTACCATTTAATGTAAAATTAAATGTAAATTCATCAAAATCTGTCACAAATCCATTAGAAATCTGTGTTCCTAATATATATAAATTTAATGTAAGTGTGTTGGTGTAATTCTTTTAGTGGTAGATTTTGTAAAGGGAATTGCCATTGAAAATGAGTTTTTTAGTAGTGCACCCTTCAAAAAAAATTTATACAACCCTTCATACTTTTTTCTCGGTCCACCACTGTATAAACCCTCTAAAAAAATAAAAACACATACTACCAATTACATTATCTATGCCTTGTGGTTGAAGAAAAAAAGTTGGAAGTTGTGCCCCCTTTACACTAGCACAACAATGGTCTTAGGTGAATTCTGTTCGGTTTCGTTAGGTCTAGACCAATATGGTTTTAACTCTTGCGGTCTTTGTGTTCATCTTTTCTATTTTGGATTCGGGTCTTTTTGGTTCAGTTGCAGATTTTCAGACCAATTTCTCTAAGTTATGTACAATATCTACTCAAAAGATCCACATCTAGCAAGTCATGTTTATATCATATCAAGCAAGTCAAGTTTATATCATAGATAATCATAAATAAAAAATAAAAAATAAACATGAGATGTAAATTAGCAAAAGGTATGCAAGTGACAATTAAATAAAATAAAATGCATAAATAAAAGGGAAGTTACAACAAAGAAAGAATGGAATGAGATATGAAGGCATCCTATATCGGTGGGAACCGCAAATAAAAGGTGAAGACAAGAAGGATTCAATAAATATGAGTGGTAAGTGACATTTCATTGAAGGATGCCTACTAGTGGATTCTAATTGAGTTCAAAATAGTTTTTAGTTATTAAGAACGGTCTAGACTGATAGGAACGGTTAATACTAGTTTTAACTATTACTCTAAGACTGTGTATGGTCTGATGTGAGACTGTTACTTTGGGAGTCGTGGTTCGTTCAAATATAGGACTTTATTCGGAGCGGTTCTTTTGACGTCATAACGGTTGTTCAGGGTACGATTCAGTCTTCAATCTTTTTCTTTTCCCATGATATTTTTAGGATCGACTCATTTATGTAGGTTTACCCCCTTAGGAGAAACTAAGGTAGGTGGTAGGAGGAAAAAAGGATGCCAAGGAAGGAAGCAAAAATATAATGTGAGGTTAGACATGAATTTTATAACGTCCCAAAACTCATAGGAAATTTTTTATTTTTAAATAAACAAAAGCATCAATTCCATTTCATCAAAAGATCAATAAAGTATCAAGAGTGGTTCCAAATAAACATTAGAGTATCATAAATCAAAAGTGTTGAATCTCCAGTGGATGCAATTCAACAAGATGTGCCTGTAACATTTAAACTTAAAACCATAAGAACAAAACTTAGTAAGTTTTCCCAAAATACTACATACAACCATACATAAGTAACACATCTATCTCAGCTTTGAGTGAAAGCTATATGTACAATCATAGTCTTACAATCACTTCCTACCAGGGGACATATCCTGGTCTTTCATACACTTGTCAAGAGCCAAATCTTGGTCCTTCACACAACTGTTAGGAGTTGAATCTTGGTCTTTCATACAACTGTTAGGGGCCAAATGCTGGTCTTTCATACAATCCATGCAAAAGTCACAAAGACACCTAGCATCAAAAGTTTGCATAGTATATTGAGAAGACTCTATCTCTTTATCAAAGTAGAGTACACCACAGCTCGTAAGATCACAAGGATGGTGCTACACACCACCTAAGGAAACACAAAAGGCCAAACCTTATTCTATGATCTACAACTAACAAATTAATCAAAATTCAACCAAGTCAAAAAGTCAACGTTCAATGGTCAAACTCAACGGTTAGTGTTAACACGTTTTCATGGGCATCTTAAGCAAATAATAATTTCACTGCTCAACTGTACTAATGGATAA